TGATCAGTGCTGTCTATTGATATCGTGCGACAAGGGCGAGCGTGCGTGCCCGTGCGCCACTAATTTCATTCCAGCCAAGGGGGCGTCATACTCACCGAGCGCAGGGTGCCACGTAGCATTTCACCTTGGCGCGGTTCTAGAGGCCAATACAGGGCAGACTGACTGTTCGATCTGTCGATGGTTGCTGGGGAGGGGTGCGGAGGAGCAGCAGGAACAGGATGAGGGCGCACCCAGTGCGCCACGTCATGGGCGAGCCCCTTCGGCGACGCTTGAGAGTGAGAGGGGGTGCTAAGGGCTGCCAAGTGGGAAGGGGGCGAAGGAGGGGGGTAATGGGGGATGATGAAAGCGCTATATCGCCCACTCGTGTTTTTGCCCCCCTCTGCATCATATGTCCACGGATCACTGCCCCTGCCGCCTTCGTTGCAATGCCGACAACAATAGGATGCGATCGCTATGTCCCTCACTCGCATTGGTGCTCGGTCGTTTCACCCTTCGCATTCTCGATGCAGTTTTCGCGTCGCATGGCCTTGCTACATTTGTTATGTGCAGGTCGCCGCTCCCTGTCTGCTTCATGCTACTATCGGGTGCTCAGCTTGCCATGCCACCTCGTATGCCCTCTCTCTCAGCTTGCGATCTCGAGGACCCACCTCGTCGGCAAGATGTCCTCGATGGATGGCGGGGCGTACGAGACCGTCCAGGACTCGCCGCGGCTCCGGGGCAGTTCCTGCCCGCGCGCGCACCGTTCCCCGCGCGCAAACAACCATCGTCGCCCAGATGTAAGTTGCATTTGCGCGCGCGCCATGACACACCATAAAACATTCCCCCTCCACATCAGCAGTAAAAAAAAACATACAGCCGCTCGAGCACGTTGTGTTGCGCGCAGCGGGCTCTCCCAGCAAGCATCGCATATAGCCATGATGCCTGGCATGTATGAAGTTGTATGACTATTGATGGGCGTGTTGCTAATCGCGCGAAGGGACTTCCATCGACGCGTGTCGATGACACCGCCTGTCAAGAGGGACCCATCGACGATTGTCGATGAGCCCGAGGCGGGATATGCCCATCGACGTTGGTCGATGAGGCGGGCTGGACTCATCGATGTTTGTCGATGGGGCCCTCAGAACCTGGCGATCCCATCGACGTACGTCGATGGGTCCCCCCCCAGGCATGCCCATCGACGATCGTCGATGGGATCGCTAGGTTTGGCATCATTTCTTCATCGCACGGGCGTTTTTATTTTTGTTTTTTTACGATGTGGTGTTGTGTTGCGTGCTTGTTATTTGGTGACGCAGTGTATTTTTTCCGTGGCGATATTTACATCGCGCGCGCGGTCAGGCGCCGCGCAACTGCGCGACCGAAGTTGGGATGCACGACGTGAACATTTCAATTGTGCGCGCGTGTTGGAGATCGATCGTTGCATATCACGCGTGTGTGTATATGTGAGCATGGCGCGCGCGCGCACGACGACATGCATGCGCGCGCGAACGCGATGGGAGCGCGCGACGTCCCGCACAGCTCGAGGACCGCTACGGTCCTGGCAAAGCTCCGCTTGAGTACCTGGCGCTGGTGGATGACGAATTCCTCCTGAGTCCAGACAAGCTGGTGAAGCTAGTCGTGGATGGACAATTCACAATTGCGGGGGGGGGGGGGCAGCCGTCGCGATGTGCTCTGCCCGCGACATCAGTGGTCTCTGCTAGCCTATGGCGCCACGAGTGCACGACGCGTCAGCGTTCGGTCTTAAACAATTGCTCATGCAGACCGCGCACGTGTAATTGATGATGCGCACATATGGTTGCTTGAGGTATGGATGGGGTGGTGGTGTGGGGGACATGTAAGGACATGCGGCAGCCAGTTGAGATGGGCTGGGCTCGCACGGACTGGTTGCCGCAGTGGGGTGCGGGGGCGCCCAGGCTGATAGGGCGAGGGAAGAGACCGCGTGCAACCACTTGTCGCCACATCAGGACACTCCCATGGGCGTGCACAGGGGGAGAGGACGGGAGTGCGGCGTGGAGGAGCCAAGGGAAGGGGTGATCTAGGGTGGTATGGCGAGTCGATCGAGCGAGCTCTTGCCTTGGAAGTGCTGGGCGGGAGTCTCGGCACCCCTTCAACGACCGCGGGGACGAAGCGTCCATACGCAAGCGGCAACAAAGCGTGGAAACAGTTGGTCTCCTGTACGAGAACAAGGGCGGCGCGCACCTGGTTCAACACGAAGACCCGATGAAGGAGGAGGGTTGTTTGGGGGGTGGCGTCAGGGTGTTGCATGCTTGCCAGGATTAACTTTACGCACCAACTATGTTGTAACACGCGAAGCAGCGTCGGCATTGACGCGCATGGACGCACGTCGCACGCACACCTATATTTAGGATTGTCCCTCCAAGTGTATTGTGATCTCAATGTGAGTCATGCTGCCCTTCAGCATGTCTGTCTAGCTGCGCCGTGCCTGCGCCCTCTGCAATCCACTCCATCCTCGATGTTCGTTGTTCCAGGTTCGTTTCTTGGCCCACGCCCTTCGAGCGTTGTCCTGTGTGGGGCAGGACTTTTGGCAAGCTGTGCACGGGGCCACGCTCGCGCAGGGCGTGGAGCGGGCTTGGCTCAAGGACACAGAGAAGAAGAACATCAGCGTTCAAAGGACTCGGCGGGGGGGCGTGTAGGGCGTGAGCACTGATCAGTGGACATGTGCAAGGAATCTGGACAAGGCTAGAGGAGCGGTGCATAGCAGCGCTCGCTTGGGACATCCTCTATGGCAAGCCTGAGACCGCAAACTATTCTTATATGTAATTCGTCCAGGGGCTGCGGCTCCATTGAGGAGGTGGGGGCTCCCGCTTGCGACCTCGTCCGATATCACTCAGGCATGGGACCCCCATCTAGACGTGTTCTTGCTTCGCACCGAAATGAGACCCTCGCTTAAGCTCTTCCCACATTTCATTCAGACATGCATGACATGGAACCCGCGTTGGTACACTGTGCTCCGTGCATGCCAATTATGTGAGCCAGGGCGTGCGCGCGAGGGTGCACGAACCAAGAATGGATAGGGCAGGAGTATCGCGCGAGGGTGGGCACACTGCAAGTGCTACAGGCGGGCCATCACGCGCGGGTGCATCATGTTTCTGAAAGAACTCGGAAACGAGACAAACGAGGTGACGACAATCCGGACGATCATCGAAAAAATAAGGGCCGTGGACATCATCGAGGCTGGCTGGAAGACGCTGGCAAAACAGAACAATTGGACATGGGCTGGGCTCGGCCAGAGCGTGTACAATACCAAACGCTTTGAGTATGTAGAGGTGGGGCGGGGTGGACTTGCAGGCAGAGGGCCATGTGCAATCATGGCGACAGTGATAGCCCAGGGTCGGATTAAAAGGGGGTATCTGGGGCTGCCTATCGCGGCTGTGTCATTATTGTTCAGCTTAGTTGGTCGTCGACAGCTCTCCTATGCATTGCCGTCTGCGTTCTCCCTACCCTTCATCAGTCGCCCTCTCCTTCCCCCTCCCTCACTCCTAGCACCTGCTCCCCATGGGCATCCCTCCGCACCTTCTGTGCACGCGCTGCCTAACTACATCGACCTCAACGTCCACTGTCTTCTTGGCAATATGATTCACACGCAGCCGCGCATTGCCATCTCTCAGGTGCGCACGGTGCACGCCTTCTCACGCCTCCTGATCAAATACCTTCTATCTCGACGGGGAGGGGAGGCGATCAAACCTGGCTGGTTCAAGGACAAGAACGCCTACCAAGTGGCCTCAGCCTTTCGCAGTGACGCTGCGAATCTCATGGTGGGCGATAACGAAACATTCTGGGACAGATTGGTTAGCATAACGCAAGAGTTCGTCGACTTCCCCGCGATGGACGGCAGGACGCACGACCAGGTGCTCAAGATATTGGGCTCTACCATGCGGGTGCTGGGGGTAGATGACGGCAGGGGGTAGCGAACGTATTTCAAGGGGTCAGGTGGGGCTTGTAACAAGGTGGGCCTCGCCAGACATAGACATTGGCAAATATAGCGCAGACTGCATTCGACCCCCAGTGCCCCCCCCCCCTCCCCACGACACATCCAGGTTACCCTTTTTGCACATATTCCTCGGCAGTTCCTACTTTCAGCCCGCTACTTCGATTCGGGCACTCCTCATATGGACTGCTCAGCGTTGCCTCTCACCCCCATAACCCCATTCGTTTATTTTACCGCGCAAGTAACACATGACCAGCTAATTCCTCCACCAACGGTTCACTCCCTGGGTGTATCGGCACGGCGCATCACTTGCAACTTGCAACGGCGTTCAAACGGGGGTGTCCTTCAGTGTGCTTAAGGTGGTTGGCCAGCGCAACCTGTTATATGTATGTTATGGCAACTTCTAATCTCTAAATGTTCGCGTCGACTGCATCACAAGTGCATGCTCATGCGCCGTTGCAACGTAGTTCAGAATTTCCTCATGCATCCCCTTTACTTGCGACCCTATCCAATCATCTACTGTTGTTACCCTCCGACCCCCCCGCGTCCAATCGGCGCCACTCCCTATGTATTCATGTCTATCCTTCAGTCGGGCTGAAGGCTAAACATAAGAGTTGCATCGGATGGCGGGCGCCGCGCCCCCCCCCCCCCCTCCCCCGCCTCTCCCCGCTCCCGTCCTGGCAGATCTTCAAGCACGCGGCTCCCGACTTCATCATGCCGATCTGCTTGCTGGCGTTCCCGCGCCTGGACAAGCCATGGGGGACGTGCCCGCTATTGCCAGGACTCGCTTTGGCGATTGCGTGGGGAGGGGGGGGGTGGAGGGTGGGCTCGGAGGAAAGATGCGGCAAGGATGCGGGGTTGGGATCCGGGGAAGGCGGAGCGCTCGGCTAGAAGTTATGCGCTTATACGGATGCGTTGTGGGAGGATCAAGGGTTCCATCCTAGGCGTCTGCTCTTCGAATTTATGTCCATAACCCTTTGCTGCTTGCTTGTGCGTCCGACCGTCAGAGAATAGCCGCGCCTAGGAATGCCGTGACTGTTGCATGCAATGCGCCATGGTATTATATGTTGTATTTGCAAATGCGCTGCCAGATGGCTTGCCCGTCCTCCGCTCCGTGAATGACTCTGACTTGCGGGCCGTATTGCAAGATTTCGTAGAGAACTCGGGGAACGCTGACAAGGCGAAGGCAAAGCAAGATCAAGCTCGCAAGCGACTGACTGACAAAGCTTGGGCCCTCTGCAAAAAAGTGCGCAAGGCCAGGGCGAAGGCAGAGAAGAAAGCCAAAGATAGCGTCAAGAAGGGTACTGCTGCGAGCAAAACAAAATCGAAGCCTCCGACAGTTGTAAAGGGCCAGACTGCAATGGTGCCATTGGCGCTCATCGAGGACGACCACGCAGGGACCAAGTCAAACTTCATTAGCCATGTGAAGGCGGCAGCAGAATACATGGAGAAGATCAACAATAAACATCCAGAGGTGATTGCAGCGTTTACCAACATCGCGCACTACATGGCTGTATCAGGGTGCACGGGCGAGGGTAGCAATAGCAACATGGGCACATGTCAGTTTCCAGATGTGTTGGGTAAAAGGGAATAGGATGAGAAGCGGGGGAGGTGGGGGTGGTGTCTGGCCCTTCTCACATGCTCTCCCATCCTCATCGTTCTCGTCCCCTCTGCGTGTTAGCCGTTGTTTGCGTCCCGTCTCCCTGTCGTTCTGCTCCTCCCCGCTATTAGAAACGTCGCCAGTGTCGCATGCCAGCAGTGTCAACATAAGCGAAGTAATGCTTGAAGTGCTCCCCCTCCGATGCACGCCCTATGTGTGGTTCTACGTTTGGTTTCCATGCCTGGCTTGGGCGGGGCCGCGAGGTGTCCGAGCATCTCCTTGCATACCAAGGCGGGGGCAGAGCCGAAGGTGTGCAAGGGGTGGTCGGCGCTGAAGATATTTTTCAAAGAGTGGCTATACGCGCAGAGGAAGCAGCTGAAGCCAAGGCTTCCCTGCGCATCCATGTCCAGCTATCTTGCTCTCTCCTCAGCTTGGTCTTCTGATTCCACCTGTCGTGCCAGGCGTTGCGTTGTGATGCAGTCGTAGCCTTGCGCAGTCCAGCACGGCCCATCCTTCATAGTCTTGCATTGTGGAGCGTTCGCAGTCTTGCATATTGAACGGGGCCGCTCTCTGTCTGATACAGGTCTCCTGCCGTTTAGAATCCCACCTCCGCGCTGGCCCGACCCGCCCCCTTCTGCCTCTTCTGCAGAGGGCCAGCGACCCCGACTCGATTGCGCTTCTCAAGCTGGACACGTTGGGTGACGCTGGCGTCGAGGCCCAGAAGGCTGTCATCGAGGACGGCCCAAAGATGTCAGAGCAGGAGGCGGCCGAATTGTTGACGATGACCGCTTCCGACGCGCGTGCCCTTCTGACGGCGGCGCAGAAGACTGGCTTCTTCAGCTATCCCGTTTCGGTGGGGTGGGGGGGTTGAATCATCGTTCGTGCGCGGTGCTTCTAAATTGTTTTGACGCGTGCAGGGGGTGCCGTGTTTATCGTTGGACCCTGACCCTATGTGTTCCATTGTTGTGCATTGCGTTATCTTAGCTCATGGTTGTTTCGCGAGCGAGCATCGGTGCCGTCATTGCATTCTGTCTATCTGGGTCGCCACCCTCCGCGGCTTACCTTGAACGTGCGGGGAGGCCGACCCTGAGGCCGCCGTCGTGACTAACCGCGCCTTGCAGGACATCATGACCAAGATGCTGAACATTCATGTGTCCACTGATACTGGCAATAGCGATTCTCAACCGTCTTCGATTACCCCTGGTGTTGGTGGAGGCGGGTTTCCGTCGCTCCAGGCTGCCCGCGGCACCTTTCTCGATACAGCAAAGGGCAGCGTGGCCCAGATGTATCCAGATGCTTTCGGCAACGTGTGCGATACCATTGACAGATTGGTGAGTTCTGGGTTCGAGGCGCACTTAGCCTGCCCCCCGTGGAACGTGCTGCGCTCTGAAGGTATGAGCCAGACCAGGTTGGGTGCGGCTCGTTTGAAGTTCTTCGGGCGCATGATCACGACAGTCGGCCAGATGACGTGCATGATTCAGCCCTCGAGCGATGCGTCGGCTCCGCTCGCTGGTCGGTATGTGACTCCACTTGAGGCGATCGGCTGTTCTTTTGGCACTGCGCCCGAACGTGCGCTGCCTTGCCTTCCATGGTGGTTTCAGCACCCTTGCTCTTCGCATGTGTCGTATATGTATACCCCCTCTCCAGCTGCGCTCTTTGCAACGCACCTCCAAACCTCCAGCATCGTCGCCCTGCTCTCAACCCAATCCCTCAATTCGTTCCCTGTTGTTTCCCGCAGTCATGCCGCTACCTCCCCGAAGCGTCCACGGTCTAAGTCTCCCCCCCTTCTGCCGCGGCCCGTCCTTGGCAATGGCCAGTCAGGCGAAGTGCTTCCAGGACTTGACCGCGAGCATCAGGCTGCCTGGCCCAGGGAAGCAGGCGCTAGATTTGCCGACCGCCCTGGTGGCGCTGCAGGATTCGCTGGCGGCAACGGGAGGGGGAGGCACAGGTGGGGAGAGAGGGGATGCGGGTTCAAGTAATGTCAGCCGCAGGGAAAACGATTGAGGGGGGAGGGGGGAACGTGGGCAGTTCGAAAGGGAGGGAGGTGGGGGGCTAGAGAGGGAGAGGACCCAATGGATCAGTTGGATGGGGCGCCCGCCACCCCCCCCGTCAGGAGCCGCCCAATTCGAAGAACATGGGCGAGATCATCGACATCATCTTCTCCATCGCAGGGGAATACCAGAAGAAGGCCGAGGCGGTGCCTTGGGCAAATTATACCGTGGAGTTGCAGGCGCTGCAGATGTCGCTCGACACTGCCCACGGCGAAGAGCAGCTCAACGCGGCGGGGAGGGGGGGAAATGGGAGAGAGGGGATGCATGCAAGTAACTACAGGGGCACTGGTTTGATATGCCGCACGTTGTGAATCTCGGCTGTGTGGTGCTTATTCGCATTGGAGGCCAATTTCCTCCGATCGTGCATCATGGAGCGATCGTGGTCCACGTGCGATAAGGCGTCGGGCTTTTATGCGTGCATACGATCTCCATGCGCAGCCTTTTGTGCGTGCACGCACCTACGCATGGACAGATGAGAGGTCGCCTAGATGACTGAAAGCGTGCTGTGCGTTGCGTGTAATATGATTGGTTGTCTAATGCGCACGTTTGCTTGCGCCTGCGCGTTGGCGCACGCTTCGATCAGTAGCATTGTCCGACGGCGCAGCCGCTTGCAAGCATCGACGAAGAGGAATGATTCGATCGCGCGAGGGGGGGGGGGGATAATTGGCTGATGTGCATGCAGTCATGCATGCAGGGGCGCTGACAGGGGGGCAGAGAGAGGAGCCGACGTGCACGTAAGGCATACGCAGCGGGGACAAGGCATACCATGAGCGTTAAATGGGGTAGGGGTCGTTAGGTGCTGAAGAGGATCGGCATTCACAGTGCGTCCTTCAAGTTTACGGCCCAGCAATCGCTCTTCAGGGATGCCAAGAGCAAGATGATAGCGGACGCCGTGGCCAAGTGGAAGGATGCCAGGAGGGATGCCAAGGACATCTCAGAGTTCAACGCGAATCCATGGGAAAAGGTCTCTTTCACGATCGAAGAGCGGTACCCGAGACAGGCTGGGCCCCTGGGGGCGTGGGAGATGGTTTGGGTTAGAATATGAGTTCTGTAAATGATTTGGGTGGGGGACGCTTTTGGGGGCAGGGTGGGTGGGGGCTTGACGGGCGGAGTTAGTTTCGATGGATTGGCAGGCGCTGATGGGCCAGCTCAGGGGCTTAGGGTTCTTGCGCGCTCTCGCTCATTCCTTGGCGCATCCCATCCGTCGCTCTAAGCTTCGCCCCCCCCCCCCCCGTTCCCTTGGCGCCTTGGCGAGCACCAGCGTCCAGTGCGCCATCGTGATTTGGAGACGCGCCCCTCCTGCGGGGGTGGGGGGGTGGAATGGCGGCCCCAGTGATCCCCTGAGCTCGGGTAGAGAGGGGGCTGGAAGCAGGAACAGAATGAGACACAAATCGCGGGATAACTGTAAAAGTGTGTGTGTGTGTGTGTGTGTACGTGTGTGTGTGTGTGTGTGTGTGTGTGTGTGTGTGTGTGTGTGTGTGTGTGTGTGTGTGTGTGTGTGTGTGTGTGTGTGTGTGTGTGTGTGGTTGGGTCTGGCGATCATATGCAGGAGCGTGGTAAAGGTTGCGGTCATGCAACATCCTGGGTGTAAGTAATCGACGGGTGAGGCGGAGGGCAGATGTGGGGATTGATGGGGAGTGCCCTCGCCATCGCCCGCGCATCCCACCACCTTCCCCTGTCTCCTCCTCTCTCTGCTGCATCTCCGCGAGCACCAGCGGCGAGTGCGGGTAGCGCCTGCCCAACCCCTGCCCCGCTTGGATGGATGGGGACTTGGCCGCCTGGGCCCTAGACAGGTTCCTGGGCTGGTAGGAGGAAGGTGGACGTATCAGTAGGAATTTGCAGCGCAAGAGTGGGAGCCTGATCAGGACTGGTAATACGATTGGAAGTGAGTAAGTGGGAGGAAATATACAAGAGACATCGCCGAGCATAAGTGCAAGGGAATAACGGACGAGGATGTCGCGGATGATTGGGGCACGTCGTCGGATAGGGGAGTCTGGGGGTGGGGGGTGGGGGGGGTGGGGGGGGGGGGGGGCAGCAGGTCGCGCCGCAGCAGGGCGGCACCGTGGCCAACAGGAAGCAGGGGAAGACAGATCCCAGGGCGCCGCGCTTCTTTAACTTGCAGCAGTGGACGTGCATGATTACCAAGCAGGAGCAGAAGGATGTTGCACCCCAGGAGAGCGACGACGACGGCGAGGAGCAGGGGGTGGAGCTGCCAGCCTTTGTTAAGAAGCAGGCCGCCTGAGCTCGAGGGGTGATTCGAGTATGTGGAGAACTTGCATCGCGGCTCATGCCGATGTTGCTTTGCTGCATTGCTTGGGGGCCTGGGGGAATTAGTGGGTGATGAGGCGGGCGAGGATGAAGGTGGACACGCGAAGAACGGAGTAGAGGGCAAGGGGGGCGTTCCCAGGGGGCGCGCGACGGGGGGCGCGAGCGCGCGCGTAGAGGAGGGGTGGGGGGGGGGCAGGCGAGGGAAATGAGGATAAGGAATATAACGATTTGGAGGGCTATGCGAGGAGTTGGAGGAATAAGTCAGGGCGGCGTGCACAGTGGAGTGGGGGTCTCACACAGCGCCGCGTGCTCCCGCCCACGTGGCCCTCCCCAAAGGGGACTGAACCGCTTCTTGCTTTCGCCCCTGCTCTGGCCTATTATGCGTGGTGTCCTGGTGTTTTCCATCATCAGTCTCATCTTCGCCGTTTCCAGCAATGTCCAACATGTGTTCTTTATTAACGTTTCTGCACCTCCTCCTCCCCTCATCCTGTCGACCCCCTCCTTCGCCTCCTCCCTCCTCTCGCCCTTTCTACCCCTGGCCTCGCCCTTGCCCTTTTCGCGTTGGCCCTCTCGCATGCGAGGATGGGGGGGTGGAGGGGGAAGAGGGGGAAGGAAGAAGAGGAGTGTGAGGACTGACAAGGAGGAGAAGGAGGAGATGGAGGATGAGGGGGGGGATGGTGGGGGGGGGCCAGGTCACTACAGCTCTGATGAGCAAGCTCATGGACATGTATTCGAAGGTGGCCGCCGAGATGGTATCAGGTGCTGGCTCCAGCTGCGGCGACCTCGTGCTCAAAGCGACGCCGTCCGTGGGCTTGAAGTCTTACAGCTACACGATGATGCGGAAGGGGAGAGGGGATCGCTGTCTTTGCTGTCTGTATTGCTTTTGCGCCATCCTCATGCCATTGCCATGTTATCATACTGCCTATCTGCATTCGCTGTCTCCCCATGCGTGCTCTCATCCATCCTCGTGCCCCTCATCATGACATCATGCATTCGCGATCTTTCCTTCCTCGTGCCGATGTCCTTCCGCC